CACAGTTCAAAGTTCAGGACTTCGCATCTGGCCGTTGGAGAATGACTGACAGGTCAGCGACGATAAGTAAGCCGCTGGTAGCCAATTCGATCCCCACTGGCCTTGGCTGAAATTAATCCTGAAAGCAAAGGCTTGAATTCCAGCGAAACAGACTGCCCATATTCCTGAGTGTAGCAGTCGAGAGGGCCCAGATATTAGCTGTCAAATATTTTTAACATTACAATATTACAGGACTATTAGTAGCATATTTTTACTAAGGCCAGAAACTATAACAGCACAAACTGACATGATCGTAATCGACGTACCCACATCGGAGAAAATCGGGAGGAAGTATTCAGACAAAGGTGTCCACTACGAGAGAGCCGTCGTTTTCATAGATTACCTTTATTCGTCCACTTCACACGTCTCTCACGTGCAAAAAATCGATACTCGACCTCATTGGTTGAGAACTAGCCCCATTTCTGTTGCCGAAAAGCGGGTGGGTTAAGTGATATCACAAGATTCGGAGGATGAGCGAACGAGAAAGTTGAAATTATTTTGCAATGAACAACTCATCACAAAACATAACGTCGACGACACTCAAACCAAGTCCTGTCAAGATTTTAAAGATGCCACACCGCGAAGTTTCCATTACAAGAACTGAACTCTCCTCTGCACACGTTTCTTTTTCTCTTGAACTTGTTTTCTCATCCATCATACATGTCACATTTCAGTCCAGTAGCCTCCCCCCTATCACAACAGACGAACAATGAGCAGTCATGTGAGACGATTGCAATACCACCAGCAACGTCAGGCTCAACTTGGACGAAACGGGAGCGCCTCCGCCTTGCGCCAGGCGGATTTGTCGAGCTACGCTTTCTCCGATGAAGGCAGTATTCTGCGTAGCGGCGTGGAGGGCTCAGTCATCTCCGGACGCACAGATCCGAGCTTTCAGACGGGTTCTCGCGACATCCCACCCCCGATGACTCGCAGCGCCTACCTAGATGCGCGACGATCACCCAGTCTCCTGAGTGGCGGTGGCATCCGATACGACCAGTCCGAAGCCCGCGGTCCCGGGAGTATGCTCAGTCAGCAGGCCTCCACAGTTGCCGGCAGGTCACTCCTCAGCCGGCCCTCCCTCTACGCGCGAAGCAACCTCCAGAGGTCAAGAAGTTTGGCCGCTTCCAAAGTACGACATCACACGTTGTTATTTTAAAGTAACTTAACCGTTTTACCGGGGCGGCGTTTCCTGAAATGACTCTCAGGCACTTTGTATTTTGCTGCGGCTTTCCATTTATACTCAGTCTTCTTCCAGTTAATTATCTGGGTCGCGTTTTTCCTCTATCACTTAAAATATATACATATAGGAAGCAAGCGTGTGACCCTCACTGATGTGGTTAGGATCTCACTAGATTCCATTCTGCCCACCAACCAGCTTGCTACTGGCGACAAAGAACGTTGTGCCGTAGGACACATACCGCATATAATACGTAAGCAGCTCACTAAGAAGGCAACAGGCCTGTTGCGCTCTTAGTGAGCTGCTTGCGTAATACCTATTTTTTAAAAGGCAAATGCGTCCGTTGGGAAAAGTAGAATACATTATCAGGTAAATTTTCAACGCGGGAGGATTATGCATTCTGTGCAGAGTAACTGGAGAAGGGGTTAGAGAGAGTTAGCAGTCGGACGAGGGCACGTATGACGTCGGAACAGCGGTGTCCCAAGTGTCCTTCAGGGAATGCGTCAAGGCGTCTTCAGCCAGGACACACCTGATCCCGCCTTAAATCTGATTGGCCAGCTAGAGATCCAGGTGGGCGAACGTTAGACAGCCTTGGTGCGCACGTGCAGACACGCTCGAGGGGCCCAGCGTTGAGGCATGCGCTCGGAGTAGGGCCACTACAGTGTAAACATCCGATATACCGAATTTAATTCCCTGACTGATGTTCTCCATTTCTTATTAATGTTCTTCGTTGCACTTTTTATTCGTAGATAAATTAGGTTTCATTATTACGACATGGTGGAAGCAGCTGGTGATGGTGAATTTTGGATTGTCGATAGGGTGTTCATAGTTAGTCGTGCTGTAGTGCGCCAGAGTTGTGCCAAAATCTTCAACTTTTCAATCGTGCACCACTAGTTGGACGAACAGTTTACCACTGGAAACAGAAGTTTGAATCAACTGGCAACTTATCCATTAAGCCGCTATAAGACAGACTGTCTGTCGAAATCATGAAAAAGTGGTGGTAAATTTCATAAAAGAGAATGATGCACAAATCAACGAGAAACTGCACGAGCGTGCATGACTTCGCAACTTTCTGTTCACAAATAACTGGAAAAGAGGAAAAAATAAAACCTCTCAAGCGTTCTTTGGATCAAACATTGACAGAAGATATAATGTTTTGGTTTTCAAAGACGGATACTCGTGAACCGCACGGTACACGCACCCCAAATAGGCTGAATTTTCGAAAGTTGAAACGCGATATGGCGAGAGATTGCAGTACGTATGGATATACACCGTGCAAAAGTGCAAAGTACACAGAGATCCGTCAACGGAGTGCAGTAATAAAACCCTTCTTAAAGAGGTAACATATGAGGGAAAGTTTTCTTCTTGATCGAAGTCATATTCATTGCTGACTTTCGTTGTGGACGGCCATTTTTCTCGAAAATTAAGTTTGATGTTTGAATGAGTCTTCACATGTGACCCAAACGACCATCTTCGTGAAAAGGAGCGCCTGAACACTCAGTAATTCGGTAAATGCCTTCAAGAACAATCTTATTTTAAAGTTCTCAGCAGACAGGTAATTCAGAATCTGTCTTTATGGGCGATCGGGTGAAACCTCTGAAGATCATGAAGTATTGACCAATATTTCAAGGTCGTCTTCAGCCAGGGCACACCTGACCCGGCCTTAAATCTGATTGGCCAACTAGACAGATAGGTGAGCGAACGTTAGACAGCCTTGGTGCGCACGTGCAGACACGCGCGAGAGGCCCAGCGTTGAGACATGCGCTCGGAGTAGGACCACTACAAGACTACATGTGGGAAGGCATACATTGTAATTGAAGGGTGCTGGCACTTCGATAGTTCGACAGACGCTGACGACGACGACGTCCGCCGCGTGTCCCACGGAGCGCGCGCAGCAACGGCGACCTGCGCGTGAATGAGCTGCAATTTTGCGCGGCGTCTGGAGCTCTCTGTTTCCTCAGTAATCTTGTACCAATGGAGGGACAGCGTAGAGCCGGACGAAAGTGAAAGCGCGGCTGGGGGGGGGTTAAATGACCATCAACGCGTGTCACGCGGAGCAGATTATCCCATCACTTGACGTCCAACCAAGTCAGCAATGTGGACATCTAAAGGTATACTGGCATACTGGAGCAGGACGTCCTTTCCACTGATTCCACTCCCCGAGAACATGCTGGGGATTGCATAGTTCGAGAACTTCAGTAAATCTGATCTGAGCGCTGCCGGCAGATAAGTCGAGCAAGAGGACTTGCAGTTCCGTTGGGATGACGCATTTTGTAACAACAGTCTGGGAGTCTTTTTATGCATTAAGACTTTTCACAGACCATCGTAGTCTGATTGAAAGGATACACAAGGCAGCAATAGCAAGCATGTTCCAACATGGACGCAACGACTGGTTGGAAAGTTGACAAGACGCTCCACTTACTCTGGGGGAATGGAGAGCCTAAAGTTGGGGTTAAAAGTGCTGGTCAGATGCGCTGAAGCTTGGAATGCTCTGTCTGCCGATATTGTTATGTCCATATCCGTCGAGACTTTAAGCGCAAGCTGGATCAGTATATCGCTACACATCATGATATCACCAGACCGATATCGTCTTAACTCTCCGTACTAACAATTTATTACTGTAGGTATTTCAGTAGCGTTTGTTTGTTTTAAATTTTTTTATTGTTATAAACTCATTGCACGCCAATACTAACATTCACATGACCACGAATACTTGTAGGCATCCCTTGCCACCGTGAAAAGCGGGCGCTCGACCATTCAAATGGAACATCACGATCGGAAGGTACAACTCCTCATCAACGCAGTGGACTTCAAGAAGGCCAAAAAGCCCTACTTCTGGTCCATCACGTTCTTCACCCTCTTCCTCCTCACCCTCTTCCTTGGTCTGTTGATCATCTGTCTACGCCACGTCTACATGAACCTTGTCCTCTCGCCCTATCTGGGCGAGGCGATCGGTCCGCTCATCTGCGGGGCCTCTTTCCTCTTCCTGGGAGCCGGATTCAAATTTCTTTACGACGCCTACCAGCTGGGAGCCAAGGAACGGCAGAAAATAAAGGTGCGTGGGAGAGGGAAGGGAAAAATTTACATGAATTTGCATGACTAAAAATTTCAGGGAAATTAGAACTCTCCCGGTCCCCCGCCCCCAAAGACGGTGTTGCAGGCAGAAATAGGATTCAACTCGGGTCAAAATGTACCGGCATGCATGTAATCTGAATATTGTACAGGGCGGATCCCCGGTCAATAGGCTAACTGTGACCAAAACGTTGTGCCTGACCTTACTAGCTGGAGCCTATTCTATGCATCCCTGTCCACTGCCTTTGCGGATCTCATTTGATTCGGGTACGATTGGTAACGGCCAATGTTCAGTGACCGGCTCTCGACGGTCAGTCAGTGATGTAGAAGTATATATTGATATGGATTTATCGTGCTTCCGGTTTGAGTACTATATAAGATCCCATACACGTATTTCGCTGATCTTCTGCCGATGTATGATACAACTGCGAGGAATTCGGCTAATCAATAGGCCACCCAGCGTTCCCTGTGTGCATTTCGTTATCTAAGGGCTGGCCTAATGAGTCAAACTCCTCGCTGTACTTCGTATGTATGCATTTATGAAGGATTAGGCATCTGACAGCAGTGACCCTTTCAATAGTATCGTTTTGTCGGGGGCCATTAGCGGTGGCAGCTTCAAGAGTAGACGGCATTACCTACGCCACCTGACTGACACACCTTTGAAGTGTGGCATTACGACGATGTCGGTCACCCAACAGTCATTTATAACCAAAACATTGTCGTTTCGTCGTATTAACTATCTGCCCATGTTTGTGACTGGACAGCCAAGCGCATTTCCTAAGAATATTACTGAACGAAGTTGCTCACAGACGACAAGTTTCGTGAATAGAATTCGCTTTAAAAGTGCCACAGGATTTAAGGTCACTGTTTTACTGGCTGCCTGACGGAAACGATTAATTATCGTTTTCTAAAACAACAATTTTCGTTTTCCTTTTAGTACCAATCCGCGAGTGCATCAACAGTAGCTGTCAAGTTAGCCGAGGCGCCCGCAGTTGAGGCGACGTAAGTTCTTCTTCCTTTCCTCATGTGTATGTTGTATCCTCACGAAAAAGCGTCCTGCCCCTAACGGGTGCCGCGTTGTGGATCTAGACGAAAGCGGGCGTCTCATCGGCTGGTGGTGTGCGTCAATTGATCTGGGCTGGGTCTGCTTGCAGGTTACTCCTGGTTACAGCTGCGTGTGGCAGGGGTTGGGTGGGGACTCCACCTGCGCCCTACAGTCTTCTTGAGTCTCTATTGACAGCGGGTCCAGGTGGGGAGTGGGGAAGAGGGAGTGCGGAAGATGCTGCGCAAGTCTACTATCACTATAAACTAATTCACACGCAAGAGACTGATGGCGATAACGAGGTTTACCTTCGCATGGCAATCCAGTGCTTCTCTAACCATGATAAGTCTGCCGCAATTTGAACCACCATAAAGTGATAAAAGCTCGTGATTTGTAAAGATGTCAGCCGGTGGGATGGCCCTACCCCTCATTGGACGAGGATCAGGCAGCAATAATTAGCCCTCTTTGAGATACCCATGGTACACTCGTTTGTATGAGTTCTCAGACTCCATGGTTGCCGACTTGACCGTGCAGAGACAGGGACCATCACGTGCGTGGCACGCGTAGACTGACTCGTCAGTCACTCCGCTGCTATCATTTCTGATGTCTGGGGGTACCCTCTTTTGTATGTGATCTCAGACTGCATAGGTGACGACTTGTACGTGCAGAGACAGGGACCATCACATGCGTGGCACGCGTAGACGGGCTATTAAGCCTCGTCAGTCGCTCCGCTGTTACCATGTCTGACTGTCTGGGGGTGAGCATAAGGTGTGCAGTGGATGCTGCGCAAGCCAACCGCACCATGTAGACACACAAGTCCCCACTGCGCCGTCTCCAAAGCACGAGATATCGAGCGGTTAGGGAATTGTCTTTTTTCCTGCCGATCGGGGTGGCCGATCCATCGTTTGCTTAAGCTCCTTCAGATATAAATAGGCGCCCAAAACTTAACTTAGGAAAGACGAGCATCGACTTACAAGACGAAAACCAGAAAAGATTGAAGGAGCGATAGCTGGGATACAGGTATTAACTATCATAATTCTGAAATTAAAAGAACTACTTCCTCCTACCATAGACTTAGACAGAGAAAAATAATTCTACTGCTGTTAGCTTTCTGAGTGGATGCTGAAAAGTAGGCTCCCGTGAAGACATTGCCTGGCTCGGCAGTTATCAGAATGCGCACGGTCTGGGTAAGGTGATGTTTACAGTCAGACTGAATTTAAGGGTACATTTTTGTTATTGCCATATTCTTGTGGGTCCCACACCTTACCGATGAATTTAAGTTTACAAGACGAAACCCAGAGGAGGGTAAAGGAACGATATTTAGGGTACAGGGGTTAACCATCAGAATTCTCAAATTAATGGAGCTACTTCCTCCTACCAAAGACATAGACCGAAACACACAATTCTACTGCTGTTGGCTTTCTGAGAGGATAGTTAAAAGTATGCAGTGAAAAATGCCTCCCAATGCGGTCGTCTGCGTTCCATAACGATGTTTACCTATGCCGGTTCATTTGGTTGATCGCACTGGATTGGTGCAACCGCAGTAACAGTGACTTGGTTGTATGAGACGGTCAAGAGGCCTATTTGGGCTGGCCGAATTTGTGCGGGCAGCTAGCCGGTGCAGCCATGTTACCATCACCGCCCACACACCAGTAAAACGGGATCGACCAATTAAGACGCCAAGAAAATTTTCGTCGAGAATAAGGCTCAGTGACTCAGAAAGTAGTTTATACTCTGGTTTATTTCTTCATGTAGTTCTAATTTTGACAATAGACCGGGATTCGTCATTTTCAAAAATTAGACTGTTTTCGCAGAACTGCCCCGGTGAAGAGATTGCTTAGCTCAGCAGTTATCATAATGCGTACGGTCCTAGTGAAGCGACGATCGATTTGCGAGCAGACAGGCATTCCAGGCAGGCGATCGACGTCACGATATTTTCTCGGCAAACAGTACTTTTAGGCAACAGCAATTTCTGTAACCACTCTACTATTGAATATAAAGAAAGAACCTTGTGATTTAACTGACTGGTTTGATATCACAATCCAGCTGTCTTCTTGGTAAACCCTACAGGGAGGAATTGGTCAGCGGAAAGACAACTGACAAGGCATTGTCTCGGGCGCCGATTGGAACTCGAACTGTGGCTCCATCCGTTCTCTCCTACTGACGGTTCTCAGGTGTTTTGCCCCGAAACAGCCTCGTCCAACTCCCTTCCCAGTAAACTTCCTTTGTACTCAAATACCTGCTCTCAGTCTTTGTATTTCTCCCCTCCCCCTCAAATCTATTTTGCAAAGTCACCGCTTTATAAATTTAAGAAAAAGCTTTTACTTGCACGTGTTAGTGTTCAATGTTGACAAGTTTTCTAACCAATCATTGCGAGAGCGATCATTTCGCCGGTTTGAGAAGAAAAGAGCGAATGCGCAAAGAAGTGGAAAGGCTGCTTTTTCGTCCTCCGGACTTGTTCAGAATAGGACGATTCCTGTTTGGGCAGGCACATTTACAGGTACAACGAGCTCTGCATCTACGTCTTGCTGTTTCGCCTCCACGAACGGTCCCTAAATCAAACCAGCGATGGCCCACCCCCGAAGTGTATTTGATTCCTGACTTGTTTGTCACCCACTCGTACAAGTTAAACAGTATTCAAAAGACGAGTGGACGAGTATACGTTGATTTCGATGAATTCTCTTCAAGCCAGTACAATTATATGGGAACCGGGTACAGTCAAATATGTCATTGATTGGAAAATCTATAAGTTAGTTTTAAAACACAGGCGGGACGAGAACGGAAGGGCGCAGAAAGGTGCTTGTGGTTGGTCAACCTCGAACCACAG